CGCACGACACACTGAAGGGCAGTGGGAGGATGGAGACAGGACTGGGCGCGCAGGCAGCACCTGCAGGCAGGGGGACGCCTTTGGGATGGAGTGTCCCCCCAGGACCGCTTCAGAGGCAGACCCCAACTGCTGAAGCCTTTAGCAACCAAGCTCCTACCAAAACGCACGGCAGCCGGGTACCTATGTGTTTGTTGGACTCTAGACCCAGGAAAGTGGAAAGACAGACGCACGGACAGGCAGAGCGTCCCCATTAGCCAATTCACGTACTGGGACCACACAGCGCTGCAGATCCAGGCGCGCTTGTCAGGCTACTGCTTGTCACCCCCGGGGATGCTCCTTCTCCCCAGGCACTCAGCAAAGGGAGTATTCCTCCCAATTTATTTGTCTCATGCTTTCACAAGGCCCAAATTTCAGGTATGCAGTAGTATCTTGGGGCTGTATGATTATTTTCCAGTGGCGCTGTCAGTACATTTCACTACCACACTCCACTCTCCGTTTCCTGTATCACCTTAACCACAAGAACAGTGCATTTACCTCCAGGAGGAGGTACGGTATCTATCCCTACAGTGACTACTGCATTGCAGACTAGTAACCAGACTCAAACATAGTTTGCAAAAGCTTGCTCAGGTCCTTCCTCATCCCCCCCCCCCCCCTTTTTTTTTTTTAATTTAATATTTGTTTCTAAACTATCCATAAAGATTTGGAGTGTTGGGTTTTTTTGGTCCACCTGTTCTATACTTTTTAAACAGCATTCACAGCCTTCCTAAGTTTTACTATTGGAGGTGATGAGGAGTGAATAGGATGGAGGTTTTGAAACTTCAGTGGGGAGAACAAAAGGCTCTGGCCATGAAGAACATCCTACCTCTGGAAGACTTCTGAGAGATGGCCTCACACTGAATTTTTATTAAAAAAAAAAAAAAAAAAACAGATCCTATCTAAGTAAAGTTTTTGTTTTTAACCAAAAATAACGCTAGTAAAATCCTAGCATGGAAGCAATTACATTTTTAAACATTTGCATGAAGCTTGTCTACCTTTGGTTTCATACACTTGCTTAAAGCAGAACATGCTGGCACAGTTTATTCATCTTCCCGTATGAAAATAAACTGTGCTTCCACACGCTTTTACCCAAACGTAGCTGCCTACACAAGTGAAGTTATCCTGCTACATCAGTATAAGCACTATTTAGGATGGGCAACAGAAACATGAATCACTGCAGTGAAGAGATGCACAGAAAAACAAAGAAGAGGTTGCGTACGTCTTCTCCTGTTTGTAGAGAAAGCTACAAGTTATGTTGTTTAGCTGTATTTCTGAGAGGTGACCTGCTATAACTGTGATGGTCCCAGGCTGGAAAAATAATTCATTTAACACCGTGATGTCATTCTACCCACTACCAGTTGCCACGGTCTCACAGCATGCCAAAAAAACTTGAATTTCTAATTTTGAGAAGTGTCTCTCTTTTTTTAATTACAATCTTCAAAAACCTTACAAAAATGGAAAAGGGCATAAACCCAATATCAAGAGTACCAGCCCTGCTTAGATCATATCGCAGAGCACTTTTAGCATCCTACTCTTTATTTCCCTCCTTCCCCAAAAGGCCACACGTCACCATCGTTCCCATACTCCCGAGTTAATACTCAGGGCTCAGATCCCCCGAGCCAGTCCTGAGCTGTCTTCATGCAGTACTGCATGTCATTGCTCCCCACCCCTCAGGGCCAACGCTCTCACCATTTTAAGTTAACATTAATAATTAACAAAGAGAAAGAGATACCCACGCTGTAATCGCCCTCTGCCATACTGCAGCTTCGATATTTTTCCTTAGGCTAAAGAAGAAAACAGTTAACGATCTTACTTTAAACATTACCGTGCATCAGTGATCACAACTAAGTTTATTATCCCACAAACAAAAACAAAGACCAAAAAAATATAACAGATTACACCCTACTAACTTTTATTAAGAGCCGGCATTTCTAAGCAAGGCACCGGCTCCGCAAACCCACTCAGCTCACACCCATCATCGGGGTGCGACGTCGGCAGTGATGTGCACTATGTGGCATTTGTGGCACTACTGGGGAAAGCTATTTTAAGTCTAATTAACATGAAATTTTTAGAATGCAAATGCTTTTCATTTATACATAAAACAAAATGCCGTGACATTTCTCCCATACATTTATCATAAACAAGTTAATTACTGTGTAACAAATAGCTCCTGCTAGAATCTGTATGTTTTAAGGATGTTAGAGAGCTGACTCAGGCAAATAAGATGAACCACAAAGTAGCAGTTAATAGCTTATGGCATACTTATAATAAAACAATGACTCTGTAAAAGCTCTTGTTGTCAAATTAAGGCTAAGCTATTTCCATTGGAATAAGTCAATTATAAGCAGTCATTATCTGTTTAACTTGATTCAAACCTAGAATACTACAAGCACTTTCATTTTGATACATTCACAACACTGCATACATTTGAGAGCTGGATATTATAAAGCTTAAAAGGGAAACGCTGGTTTATCGTCACACAGCTTATCCCTGAAACACGTAACATCTGAACTCCCCGTCACCATTCACCACTACTCCGAGGTCCACGTGGTACCCGATTCCCAGCGAGCAAACCTTCAGGGATCACGACCTGCCCCAGCATTCCCCACGTCTCCTCCCCGAGGGCAAAGCAAGGCTCACGCAGCAGCGGGACTCGACGTCTGCCCACGGGAATCCCCCGGGAGCAATTCGAACTACCTACTCAATTCCACGAAAGCACTACAAGGTGAATTCCTACCTATGTTCTTCAGGCAAGCAGTCCCACTTGGCCTGAAGATGAATTACTGAATGCTGATGAATAAGATGGTGGTAGCTGGCAGCAAAGCTTTGCGTGGTGAGATGGTGTGAAACGGTACATATGTCAATCTATCAAACATGATAATGTAAGCAATCTGAACCCATTTTTGGTCTGAACTATTGTACGATACTTCACCCAGATGGAAGAAAGAGATAAACATTTTATGCTTCAGACATATCAAGTGTTAGGAAGTAAAATTAAACCTAAACTGGAAAACTATATATACTCCAGTATGTAAAATTGGTAAAGAACAACACAGGCGCGAAGCAGAATTTTATGCAGCAGATTTTCTCCCCTATTATTGCACAAATTAATTAGGTAAATTTGTTTCCTATGATAAACAGCAGCATGTATTTGACTGTAGATTAAAAGGTGTAAAGACGATACTTTACTTATTAGCAAACACAGCTTTTGCACTTTATTCTTTCTCCTTCAGTTGCCAGACTGCTTACAAATCACACAACTCGTGACAACGTTATCAGGACGCGAATCTCGCCAGCGGTGCACACATACATCATCACCTGAGGGCCAGTTCAGCCCAAAATCAAAGGCAGGTTTACCATGAGTAATGTAAAACTACAATTGGCCCCTAAAGGATAAAATTAAATGGAAATATATTTTCATTTAAATCATCTTGACAGCCCATCTAAATATAATTTCGTATTTAAAAATTATCCGTTCCAACTGAAGCGAAGTGACAGCCACTATGCTGTCTTCAAAGCCAGTGCCAGCAGACTCCCCTGACCAGACCCTCGCTCCATCCCTCCTGCCCACCCAGAAACAGGCGGCACCACTTATGAAGCACTAAACTGCAAAAAATACTCCTCTGAGCAAGTATATTAACAACATACTTGAAGGACATTGTTTATCAAATAATTTCCTAAAGTTGCCCAAAAAGCATGACATCTACTCAGTTTACAGGCTGACCTGTAAAGCCCTACAGCATATGCAGGACTGGGAACAACTGCTACTGAACACGTAAACGATTGGTACTTGGTCTCTTCGTGTGTTGCTACGTTCTTGGGTTTGTCTATGTCAAATTCCTATTTGGTTATCTTTCAAACTAAAAATAAACTCCCCAAGGTCTACTAATCGATGCCAGGCCAGTCAAGAGGATTCCTGAACAGCAAAGCAAAGACAACTGGGCTCAGAAGCAAAGCTGATTGCCAACTCGTGCAGAGAAAAAATGTCCAGTCCTGGATGCTGCTCAAGCCAGAGAGAGTACTGACAACTCTCCCTCTCTTTCGAGAAAAATCAAAGTAACGGAGCAGGTGTTTGCTCTGGCTGAAGGCAGAAATCCCGGCGTCCTGGCAGACACGCGCGTGTGAGAAAATGTACTCGGGAGAAAGTAGCAAAGGGTTTATAAACCCTTGAGCAGAGCATCAAGTCCTGAGGTGCTCCCCAACTTCCACAACACCCTCTGTTTTTAGAACTGCTATAAGATGCACCAATGGTTAGTGATTTGACTCAGGGAGGGGAATGGGGGGGGGCAATTTCAACCTTCGAAAATTCTCTTGGAGTAAAACAGTAGTTTCCTGCATCATGCAAGTATAAAGTTTAATTATTTTTAACTTGAAAGGGAGACAAATCAATACACAGGATAATCTATTGTTATTTGGATTATGAAGATGTCTCAGAGTTTACAATCACAAAAGTGGTTATAATCCTGCAATTACTATAAAGCTAATTGGTAGTTTCTTTTTGCCTGTGTTTTCATGTTGTCAGTGGGGCAGTAATGAAAATGAATGCCACATTTGTGAACAGAATGTCTGTAGGCTTGTTTACCACATTTCCAACAACAACGTCTGCTTTATCATGCATTTCAAAGCAGAGATAATTTAAGGATCTTCGAATTTCATACATAAAAATACTTTCTAAAATATCAAATGCAGAGTTGCTTCAGACAGGGTGGGAGTGGGAGACTTAAAAGCGAAATGATGACCCCGCATACTATAGGCAAACAATCCACCTGAAGCAGACAGCATGTGGACTTTGAATAGTTCATCTGTATTCAAAACTGCACTCAGGTAAACCACTTAGTGTTTCATCCTCCTACAAACATAATTCTGCAGACAATTTCACCATCAAAACCAGCATCTTTAAGCCTCCTTTCACCTCCTGAAAACACAGTTATTGCAGAACCTATTAAGCTTTTTATTCCACTTACCTTTGAGTAACTTCTGCCCTTCCATGATGTTTTGGGAGACGAAAGCCGTGTAGTCGTCTTCTGAAAAGCCAGGCTTGCACGTGGGTCTAACTGTAAGATCCCCATTGTGTGCCTGCAGAAACAAAACAAGGAGAACACACCCCGTGACTTTCCTCATTTGGGAAAGCGTTTTGCACCCAACAACTAGGTGTTCAGGCACGGGCAAACCTGAACAGCAAAGCAGCGCGCAAGTAGAAACCGCTCGTGCTGAAGTGCCTATCTGTTGGAGCGCATCCACACTGTAGCTGCAAAAATAAAATGGGCCAGAAAATAGTTGCCTGACTACAATAGAGAGCATTGTTAGTAGGAAGGCTGAGATACTGGGCACTGTCAGAAGAGGGGAGGAAACAAAGAGCAGCAATTCATCAAGGCGAGCTGTGCTCGCACAGAAGCCACGCAAAGGCCTGATGTTGCAACATCCAAACCACTGAGTTTTGCTACTGAGAAACTGGGCAAACCCCAGGACTGAAGGAGGAGAAACCCCCCAGCTGGCAGTAGCCTCAGGAGCTTGTGACCAGCTAAAGTCCCCTTCTTTCTGAGGCTCTGCCTGCTGCTGCCTCTGCGACCCTCCAGTGGGGACGGAGGGGATGGAGGGGACGCCGCTGAACAGTGCAGCCTCCCGCACAACCTGCCGGGATCCGGGGGAGCATCCAGCTCAACACCCAGCTGCTCCGCTGCAACTTCAGACCGCGCAGCGAGGAACCAGCCCCAGCCACCGAGGGGTTCGCCTGGTCGTGGCAGTCTGGGCTCCATGGGATGGAGTACCTGCTCCCCAGCAAGGAGGGGCCCAGACCCCAGCTCCAAACAAACCCCTGAAAGCACATGAGCCAGTGATTTATGCCGAACGAGTGCCAGGTGATTTGCGCACAAACAAGTGCAGGTGGCAAAGGGATTCCTAACGCTCCCAGGCTGTCGGCAGGGCTAGCCACAGCATCGCTTCGCCACGCAGCCTGCGCCGCTGCCAGCCCCACGGCACAGGCTGAGGCCGGGGGACCAGGAGAGTCACTGCCCCGAGAAGGTGCAACTCCAGGAGCTCCCGTCTCCCCGGGGAGCGGGGTACGGCCCCCCGAAACGCACCCAGACACAGACAACGCTGCGCTACAGAGAGGGAAGGGAAGGGAAAGGGAGCGAAGGAGAGACAAGGGAAGGGAAAGGGAGCGAAGGGTCTCTCTGGATGAGCTCTGCAAGCATGCCGACGTACTCGCCCGAAAATCCCGCTCGGGGGACGGACGGCGGCTCCTGCGCGGGGGAGCGGCGGCGGCTCTGCGCTACTTTAAGCATTCCTCTCAACTCTTAAATAATTGCCAGTTGCTCTTACGTGATTCATAGAAGAACTTACTCTGCTGCCTTTACTCCCCCTCGTAACTACCGCGTTCAAAGTTGGCTCTATATTGGGGTTGACTTGAGTCAATCCAGCTGACCCGTTATGCGTCGCGGAGCTGGGTGGCTATCCGCACGCCCAGCCAGCGCTCGCTGCAGAGAGGGGGTGTTACCAACCCCGATTATAACCAAGCGAACCGTTTATTGATACCATCAGTTACTTCTTGAAAGATCTGCTTTGGAAAAACTGCAGCGTAGCACCAGTTTAAGACCTAATTAAAGCTCTGAGGGATGCACACTCAAAAGAGCCTCAAATAGGATTTATTTCGGCGCACAAAGCCATCTATGCTTGAAGTTCGATATAAGCAGATGCAGCAGGACGTGCCAAACAAAAGGGGTAGTGAATTAGGTTCCTACATTTAGTCAATGTGAGGCCTCTGAGAAGTTTAGACTATGGACTTGTATGTGCACTTGGAAAGTTTGCCTTCCAGTGCACCGGAGCCGCAGCTTCTACATTAGTCGTCCGTGTCCTTCCTCTTGCAGAGGCTGAAAATCCCAGTGAATTTCAGTGCCGTAAATGGGCTGTGTAAAACCGTGCCCAGAGAGTGACACCCTTAATTTTTCTTTCCCTTTTTTATTAAGCTTTTTATGCCATGACCAATGGAAAAGCCGGTTCTCCCTCCTTGAGGCTCGGTAGCTCCGAAGGCAGGACCGGGGCCTGGGGGAACCTCACCAGTGGTGTCCCGGGTAGCTGTGCCGGGAGCGGGCCAGGGAAAGGCGGCCTGCATTAGAAACCGTACACTTTACCTGCTGCAAGAGAGTAAAAAATCTGTGTCTTGGTAAAATATCTCTCGTAGCCTCCTCCGCTGGCTGAGCGTGTCAGATAACGCGCTCAGCCATCGAGCGTTCGGAACTTCCTCGGGGAAGCGGAGTAAGAGATAAAGAGGCGCCATGGGGGACCGAGAGCGCAATTCCATCCTCTGACATTTTGTGAAGTTAAATTACAGGGGCGTTAAGCTTCGGTATTTTATTTCCCTTATTAGGCAGCGCGGGTGCTGCTTAACGGGATGCAGGTACCGAACTTACGTGTCCAAAGAGAAAAACTAACGTGTCGAGGGAAAAAAACAGCATATCCGGGAGAGAGATCTGTCCACTGAGGGAAAAGCAGTGTGTCCGCTGAGGGAAACATAGCGTGTCCGCTGAGGGAAAAGTGGTGCATCCCGCAGAAAGATGTACCCAGTGGGGAAAAAACTTAACAAGCCCAGGTGACAAACAAGTGTATCCAGTGAGGAAAAGGGTGACACATCCACAGGAAAAGCTAAAACGTCGCGGGGATGATGAGCGTGTGCGGTGAGGGGAGCCTGGCCCAGGCTGTGAGGGAAAGGTAGCGCGTGGGGGGAGTAGCGTGTCTACAGGAAACATTAACATATCAAGGAGGGAAAAAATAACATATCCAGAGAGGTAAAACTAGCATGCCTAGAGAGAGGAAAAGATGAGACCAAAAAAAAAAGAGACCAGAGGCAATGACAGCCCCGCCATGACAGGGCCCCGCCATGTCCTGAGTCGCCATGTTGGGGGGAGAGGCCTGGTGCAGCAGCCAGTGCCGGCGCTACCGGAGCGGCGAAGCCTGTGCCCGGGCGGGCTGTGGGCCGGCAGGGCGAGAGCCCGACAGTCAGCCCTGCGCAGGGAGAGGGCAGAGCGCCGCAGGTGTCGGGGTCAGGTAGGAATAACGGAGGGTGCCTCAACCAGCCCCAGCCCGGCCCTCCGTCTCGGGGGAAAGCGGGCACGTCAGGCCTCGGCCACGTCAGCGGCAGATAGGGCTAACGGCACTAAAGTGGAGGTTTTCTGGGGTAAAAATACAGGCAGGTCAAAACAGGGCCGGGGAGCGAAACTGAAGTCAGTTTAGTTTCCACAGAAGGCTGAAAACTGAAAGCAGCGGTTTCGTGTGCTAAATATGGCTCCTGTGATTTCCCTCCGGCGTGACCCTGGCATCCAAATAGGATCTTTTTCCCTTCTGAGTTCAGCTCAACTCCACAAATAGGAGTTCTCGGGCATGTATATTTTGTGCATATAAATCCAACAACGATTTGCATAAATAGATGCATACTATCTGATGTACGTGCAAAATCAGACATTGCCGCTGAAAAATCTGGCCATTAAACTATTCTGTTAGATTCACACATTTCCGAAGGAATGAGACACATAAATCCACTGACTGCGTCTTTGGCTATTGAGTAGATTTAATAGCATTGTGTTAACACCTAGAGATGTTAGCAAAGAACTGAGACCTCATTGTATTAAGCTCTGTAGACAGGAATAATGAAAAGATTGTTCCTACCCCACCAATTTACAGTCTTAGTGGATTATAGGGTTTATTTTGTTTTAAACAAGTATTTCTGGGTTTGTTATATAACACCAAATAAATCCCATCATTGTATTGAATTTAGTGTATACCCTTTTTTACGAAGCATTTTCACGAAGGCAGAAATAGTCAAGTGACACTATCATAACAAAAATAAATCCTTATATCTATATACAAAATCTAAATTTGTTCCTTTTATTTTTATAATATAAATTTCCAAGTTTGGAGTGGATTGTTCCAGGTTGAAGGGTAGCTGCGGTTGTTGCTATTTAAATAAAACTACAAGTACTCTGGAGACTTCTGGGAATATTTTGGATTTGTGCAACTACAGTGTGGCTATTTCCTTGTGAATACCTCTGGCCGGTTCTTCTGACTCTCGCTGGACTACAGCTGTTGCTATGCATGTGCTCGCTCTGTTTGATAACTTTGTTAATATGACAAGTTCTACAAGTATTGTCAAAATAAGTCTGACACCACAACAGATTGTGAAGAAAAGGCAGAGCAGTAGTGAAAAAAAAATAGAATTCTTCAACATGTTTACAGTTGATTTCTAATCTGATGGCAAATTGATTTTTTTCCCAAACTAGTTTGCCATCCCTCTTCTCCAAGCGGTGGTAACTGAGTCTGTGCTTGGGGAATAAATCTGCAAACGGAGTGGGTACGCTCTCCAGTTACGGTTCCAATAGCACTGGCCTACGTGAGACACCGGGTACCTACCCAAACTGGGGTGTTTCCAGAAGGATCAGAATACAAATGCAGTGTGCAGACAATGAAAATCACTGGTTTACAGGTGTGGTTGTTTTCACTCTACCATTTTCCTTCAACTCCTGACACTCCGATTAATTTTAGAAGGAATTAAAGTTTTACTAACTGATTAGCTACTATTTCAACTACCTCCTTGTTTAGAAGCACTTAACATGAAGTGCTTGTGAAATACCTTCCTTCAGACCTTTAAAGAAAATTAAAATACGCCATTTAGTTTTTGTACCTATTGACTTTTTCACAAACTAGTGCATTTAAGCATACAGGTCTGAGCTGGGCCTGAACATATGTTATTTGGGAGGGTTAGCTTCAGACTCTTGCTTCGCTTTGAGTCTGCTGGGAGGCTGGATACGATTGATATTCTTGCACAAAAAGGAAAGAGGAAGCTCTACCGTCTAACATATGAATGCTACAAGATGTGGATTTGGCTGGATGAAGACATTTAAGAGTGTCCACATGCACAGTAAATCAACTTGCTAAACACCTCAAGAGCAAAACTGCTGATCCTAAGAGCCAACTTGCTGTACTGCGCAACACTCAAGAGAATAAAAGGCTCATGGATGAGACATCTACAGAACTGACTGTGCCAAGATAATGAGGAGCGTGGAGTACACAAGGGATTTTTCTCTCCTTGATGCACACGTGTAATTCCTATTGACAGCAGTGGGAGTTACACGTACATATCAAGGGGACAATAGAACCCTTAGTGGTGGAGATGAGTATCGGATGTGAGCTGTGTTACCGCGGATAGAAAATGAGAGAGAGGGAGGTGTGATCACTGAGGGACAGTACAACATACAATAAAATTGTCAAGCAGCCGTCAAATATGTGAAAGCATGGGAATAACAAATTAA